GCCCCCGGAGTATATCTTTCATTTTTTTTATTTTATTTTATTTTTTAAAAAAATTTACAATGATTTTAAATTTTTCTTGGGGAAATACAATGGTTTTAATTTATTGGTAATTTACATAGATTTTTGTGGTCCCTATGTCATTTTACGCACTTTCTTAAATTCTCTGTGTTTTTCTCCATATTGTAAAACATATGTAGAACAGAGAAAGTATGTTTCTATTGTTGACTATATCATATCGGTCATCAATACAACTAACAAGCATCATTTCATTGGTAATGCTTAAATAAACATGCAATATTTTATATGACATATCTATCATTTGACCCATATAATTTGAGCCATTAATATTTGGGTTTTATGACGAAGAAGCTCACAAATGAAAATTCCACTGGTATGATATATAAGTAGTGGATGCTCAAATAAGCATATAGGAAGGGAAGAAAAAAAAAATAGTGCATGATGAGTTGAGATTTTCTTTGTTACAATCATAGAAATGATCGTGTTATTCGTGTACAATGATAACGGTTTGTATGCCCCATATTATGTCCCATTGCATTATTATTAGAGCATACCCACCGGTGATCATTTTTTTGTGCGTAAGCCGTGAGGGCAAATAATGCAATAAAAATTTTGTTAAAAGAAAAAAAAAATAAGGGTAATAATAAAAGGGTAATGTTATACATAGCCCTTAGGGCTATATATAAGCATTGAATTTACTCTTGGAAAATGTATAAACTTAGGAATTCATGACAAAAACACGCGCAAATCGGTGTAATTAGTGTGTTTTTGTCATGATTTTCTAAATTTAAACAATTTTCAAGAGTAAATTAAATGCTTATATGTAGCCCTTAGGGCTATGTATAGCATTTTATAAAAATATAGAGAAGACTTGAAGACTTTACTTGTGTGTGGCAAGCCTCAAATCGTAGAAGTTGTTTTTTACATGCGACAAAATAATACTTTCTCTGTTTCTTTATTCTTGCAACATATACTTTTTTACGGTATTCAAGAAAAGTGGAGCTAATATGATTTAATACACTTTAAATGAGGGTGAGAGATGGTTAGGAGTATATAGTGCGTCATGAGATTAAAATAAAGAAAATAATACAACTTTTACCAAAAAAAAAAAATCTAATAATAGTGTATTGCAAATATTATGACATTTTCATTTTAGAGAAGTGTTACAAGTATAAAGAAATAGAGGAAGTATTACTGTTATTGAGAGTGAAATAAAGTTGTAGATTGGTTACTAAATTAGGGCGTTAGGGAAATGGCAAAAATAATGGAAATGATTCCATTCCCATCCAATTCTAGTGCAAGAAAATTGGAAATGATCAACGTATATTGCCACTTTTTTTTGGGGGGGTGTTAGAGAGCCACAACGGCGAGTGATGAGAATCGATCACAAGATTTTCTGGAATCGAGAGAGAAACTCTAACCACTTGAGCTATATCTCGCTATCATAGTCAGCTATTTGTGTGATTAAAGATTGAGTTGAACATGGGTCAAATTGACACAAACAAAATAATTATTAGTTGGTGCAAACGAGTAACAAATGAGAGTGGGGATTTAAACATGTGAACTAATCTACCATACACAATCATAGTAAACACTAGGCAATTGACACAAACTATGGATTAAAAAAAATAAGTTAAAAGGCAAAATACTTAATTTTTACTAATAGTACGCTCAAATAATTCCAAATTTTTGGAGTACGATTGAGTAAATTTAATAATTATTAAAACTTTTTAAAAACCTGAAAAAAAGTTACTGTAATATTTAATTAATAAAGTTTCCTAAAAGAAATCATTAAAGTGCTCCATTTGGTAATTCCAATGTGGGTTTTTCTTAGGAGGTGTTATAATAAGCCAACAACGCCATCACTAAAATGGGTGCTTACCTTCAACATGTCACAATGAATAACCCGTACGATATATAATTATATATTATATATATAAATTATAGAGTAATTAACTTCATTAGTCGATCTTTCTCCTATATCTCTAGCTTTTAATCATGAAAATTTCCGAATGCATTTAATAGGTAGTTTACAGAGGAATCAAATGGGTTTACAGCTCATGTTTGCGCAATGTTAATGATTCATTTTGTCACCAATTTTGAAAATTATATTTGAAAGTCATAAATCAATAATTTATGCATTATTTAGCATAATACTTAATAATTATATACAAGTATATTATGAAAATTCTATTAAATAAACATACAATGCATTTTCTGTGCAGCTGACCACATTGCATTGTGCGGCCGCTTGTAAAAGAAAGGTGTATGTAACCCCTAATATAGAGATGAAACAACTCTTTAATTCTTTATTATACTTATTGATAAATCCTTAAATAACAAAGTAACCCCTACAATAATTGAGTAAACCCTATATTACTAAGTAATCATTATAATTCTCAACTGCTATTTGTCGCTCCCAAATTACCAGGTAACGCTCCCTTTTTGACTTGAATGGACCACTATGCCCTTTATGCAATTTGGGTTATAAAAAGGACCTTGTTCCCCATTTGGACACAATACATGAAACAGTCCCCTCACTTCACGACATTGCTGTCCCGAGCTTCCCAAAATCGGTCCCCACGACCTTGCAACCAAATCGGTCCCCACGACCACCTAAATTTTCTATTTTAAAAAATCGTTAAATTTTCTGACGGGTCTTGGGTCATGGACGGCGAGTGGAACATACGTACGCCGGAGAATGCGTCGGATCATTCTGTAAGTTTTTTTTTTCGGTAATTAGGACATCCGCCTAAAATTTCCGGATGTCCTAGGTACATCCGCCTAAAATTTCCGAATGTACCATGGAACATCCGGAAATTTCAAGCGGAAGATGGGATCTGCCTAAAAAATCCGGATGTTCCATGGTACATCCGGAAATTTCAGGCGGATGTACCTAGGGACATCCGAAAATTTTAGGCGGATGTCCCTATTAATTTTTTTTTTTAAATGTTAAGTACATTTATTTAATTTTTTTTACGTTTATTAAGTTTTTTTTTATGTATTTTTTTTCGTGGTCTTGTGATTATTGTTGTGATTTAGTATTTGATAATTAATGTAATTTTGTTGTATTAATATGATTATTAGTAATATGTTTATTTTTTGTTTCATTATTATTATTATTATTATTATTTATATTATTATTATTATTATTGTTATTATTAGTAATATGTTGATATTATTGTTGTTGTTGTAGTTGATATTATTATTGTTGTTGTTGTTGTTATTTTTATTGTTGTTGTTGTTGTTGTTGATATTGTTATTATTAATTAGTAGAAATATAATTTTAATATTATTATTATTATTATTATTGTTATTATTATTATTTATTTATTAATTAATGTTATGGTCTTATAAATTGTTTTGTAGTTGTTGTTATAATTTTTTATTATCATTAATATTGTTATTGTTTTGTATTTGTTGTTATTATTATTAGTATTGTTATTAGTATTGTTATTATTATTATTATTATTATTATTATTATTATTATTATTAGTATTAGTATTGTTTTTATTATTTTTATTATTTTAATTATTATTATTATTATTATTATTGTTTTTATTATTATTATTTTGACATAAAGCATGTTTTGTTTAATTTGTATAGGATATGGAATCTGAGGAAGGCGGTGACGGTGTGAATTATAGTGGGAATTTAGTCACCGATACGTTTTTTCCTACATTTGACGATGCTGTTACATGGGCTGATGGTGTTTCCATAAAATTGGGATTTATATTGGTGAAATCGTCTTATAACAAAACCAGAGATGGTCGGCCGTATCGGTATTTGCGATGTGATCGGTCACGAAGGAGCAAGCCGAGAGATTTGGAGAACGCGATACGGAAGGACACCAAAACCAAAGCTAATGGTTGTCCATCCTACATCAATATATATTATGATGTCAGCACCGAAAGTTGGAAGATATTGCGAAAAATGATCACACCGGGACACATAACCACCCAATGATTGTGTACCCAGAGGGTCACCGTAAAGTGAGCGGATTGAGTCCGGGTGCAAAACAGGTTGTGCGGGACATGACAAAGTCCAAGGTTGCTCCCCGTAACATCATGTCCACTATTGCCGAGCAATTTCCTGATGATCATCCAAACATCCGACACATTTACAATTGCCGAAATGACTTCAGGATGGAGATGTCCGAAGGAAGAGGAGTTGTTCAGCAATTTCTTCATCTGGCGAGAGAGAGTAAATACATTTACTGGTTCACGAACGATGATCACAACGTTTTGCAACATGCATTTATGGTGCACCCGATCATGGTCAACATACTCCGCACATACCCACATGTCATAGGTATGGATTCTACTTACAAGACCAATCGATATAACATGCCTTTCTTTGAGATAGTAGGCGTGACACCGACAAACCAGAATTTTCTAGTTGGATATGTTTTCATGCGCGACGAGTGCACGACTAGCTATCGGTGGGTGTTGCAGAGATTAAGGGAGTTGATTGGGTTTGATAAAGAGCCATCTGTATTTATTTCAGACCGTGATCTTGGGCTATGTGCGGCTTTGAGAGAAGTCTTTCCAGGGACGTCCCATTTACTCTGTCTATGGCACATCAACAGAGATGTGGAGGCTAAGGTGACGAAGATGTTTGGAAACAAGACGGTTGGTGTCAGTTTTAGAGCTGGGAGATGGTTCAAAATCGTGAATGCAACAACACAGGCGGAGTATGATCGTGCTCTAACTGCCATGCAAGTGAGGTGGGGAAAATATCCGGAAGTGATTCAGTATGTTCAGAGAACTTGGCTTTGTCATAAGGAGAAATTTGTGAAATTTTGCACGAACCAGGTTCTTCATTTTGGTAACACCACCAACTGCAGAGTTGAGAGCCAACATTCAGCAGTGAAAACTTGGTTAGAATCATCCACAGGTTAGTTGTATTATTTTATTAGTTGTTCTCGTTTTTACGTAATTGTAATTGTATTAATTGTAATTGTATTTGAATGCGAGATTTGAGTTACCAGGTCCATGAACGGTGTGGATGTGCTATGCGTCTGACCCATGGTCTTCCATGTGCTTGCCAGATACATGATTCGATAGTTGCACAGACAGGATTGTATAGCAGCCAAATTCATTCTTTCTGGAAGATACTGGTTATTGGTGATGGTGTTAACATTCCTGAAGTGGTAAATGATTCGACCGAGGAGGCTGCACATTTTCGGTCCCTAATCGACGAAGTCATGGAAAGTGACCCGGCCGTACGTCGAAATGTAACGCGAATCATTGAAGAGGAGCTACATCCAGATCATTCACACCTTGAAGAACCACATATCAACCTTAACACTCGTGGTCGACCGAAAAGAAATAACACCAGGCGTGATCGTAGCTATTTCGAGCATGTGAACCGTCAACACACTCAATGTGGTGGTGACCCAGAACCAGGTAATACTAAAATTCCATATTTAATATAAAAATATGTAAACTTAATACTTGTAGCTTTACTAATAATTTATCTTTTAATTTTGTGTTGTAGATCCAAGTGACATTAGTCAATGCAGGTATTTGAACTTGCTTCCAGCCCCAATGTTGCCGTACATTTCGTCTTGGAAGGATGTCATTGGTGATGGGAACTGTGGCTTTCGTTGTGTTGCCGACTTCTTCTTTGGCGATCAAAATAAGTGGTTTGAACCCATGCATCACAGTCTTACCGCTTAGGGCACGCAACGGGGTTCGGTCACCGACTCGAGAGTTTGTGATTGCTACAGTTGGTGGATCACATTTTATCCGTTTTGACCTTGTACTTGATTCACCACTCCCGCCGATCGCCGGTTGGTGGACGGAACACCACGAGGATAGTGTCAATGGATGGGATCAAGCATATCAATTGAGAAGGGACATGTGGGATGCATTAGTTAGGTAGTTTGTAATGTACATTCACTAACTTTGAACATTTGTAAGAAAATTAGAATTATGAAATTAATTTTAAATGTATTTGCTTTTAATCTAACATGATATGCAACAAAACATCAAATATAAATAAAATAAGTGTCCAGTTTATACTAACAGAACATCTAATCAAAATAATCTAAAGTCCCATTTTGACTTCCAATCAAATACAAGCTGCTCAGTCATTGTTCGAGTCTCACTCGACATTTCAGGATACTCAGCTAGTGCTCTTTGGTGAATCTCCATGGACCGACCCATCCACTGCAAATCAAACAATAACATATTATAACACAAAAATCAATAGAAGTCATAGTTAATATAATAATAAGCATTAATACTTACGTAATCAGTGTTAGTCCGCTCAGGCAGGTTGCTTGTAACTCCTGGACTCGGAGATACCCGCGGGTGAGAAAACCTGTACAGCCACTGCATGTAATCGGGCGCAACCGAAGGAGCTGCAGCACTAAGCCTGGGTAGGGCACCTAAAACAACACTTTGAGATACCCCAGGGACAAACCTGTTCCACATCACAGCTGTCATCTCAGTCGGGAAGTCTACCTGATACATCTTCAAGTTAGTCGGCCTCTTGGCCTTTTCTGGCCTGATGATCTCGCGGGGAATGCCTTGCACGAAACCAAGCTGGCGCACCATTCTATCAGGCATGTACGGCTCAATGATGTTACGGTACTGGATGCAGCCAATGAATAAAGTGGGTGGCACTCGTAATGCAGGATCAGCTCCGTACGGTAGCCAGTTCACCTCACGGTCAGTAAGCGCATCAATCCTAGTACGAAAAGCTAACAGGCGCTCCAGGTTCTTGCTAGGACATCCCGCTCCTACATCCCAAGCAGACGCACGAGGCATTTGAAGGTCCCGGGTCAAGGTACCCTGCTGTGGCCGAAAGCACGGAAAGTACTCGTAAATCCACGCTTGCAGAAGCGTGAGACAACCAGCAATCGAATCAGCACCTTTCCGTGATGCCGTTCCCAGTTGCCGATACAAGTAGGCCAGTGCAGCTGTTCCCCAAGCATACTCGTTAATAGGGAAATCCGTGTGACATAGCTCGTGGAGGAAGGAAGGATGCGTACGGTTACCACTCTTGTTTACAAACAGTGTACCTCCAAGCACTAACCACAAGTATGCATCAAGCTGCTCACTAAAATCCCGGTCAACCGCCAATGTCGACTCAAAAATCTTATCAGTCAACACCCCACTACCCTGCCAAATGGTCTTTGTGCCGCAAACCTCAGACAGATCATCTGGAGTCATATCCATGGTGACCGAGCACGCGTCCCGTAACACGTCCGTGCTAGGAGTAGTGGACACCATATTGCCTGCAACCCGTAACCCAAGTATGTTGTACACGTCGTGCAGCAAGATCGTAATCTCCCCAAATGGCATGTGAAAGGTGTTTGTATCTGGCTGCCACCTCTCAACAAAAGCAGAAATCAACGGCCAATCAAGTCTCTTAAACATCAGGCCGGGCAAGTGAGACAACCAACTAGCATCAATCGCCGCAATGTCCTCCACAGATTGACGACCTCGCCAAGTGAACAAGTCAGAACATAACTTTGTCCTACTCAAACAGCGCAAAACACTACGCTCCTTCTCCATCCAGATATACCGTGCCACGTGACCGCCAAAACTAGGGATAACTGACCCATCCTCAGGCCCACCCGGCATCGGTTCCTACACTAACCATGCCTCTGCAGAGCTGGAAGTAGGCTGACTCGACCCACTACCAACAAATCTCCCAAACTGACCCCTATATACCATATGGAAATCCTGAGGGTCTTGTTCTTCATCCCGGTCACCAGCATGACTAGCCGAACATTCGTCTTCCTCGTCAGATATGGGTGCTCCACTTGCAGAGTACAAGGGCCGACTACTACCAGACTGTTGGTCTCTCGACCAACCACTAGTAGACCCGTATTGCTGCTGCTCGGGCTGAACCGGTGAAGATCGAGATGTCTGTCTCCTAACAGACGCATTCAGACGTCGTGATATTGCATGTCGAGCACCATAACCCTCGATCTACATAAAATAAAATAAAAAATCCGATTTTAGTAATAACAATAACAATAAACATAATAACCATAATAACAATAACAACAATAATAACAACAACAACAACAACAAATACAAATTAACAACAACAAATAAACTTAACAACAACAATAACTAACAACAATAACTAACAACAACAACAACAACAACAACAACAACAAATACAAATTAACAACAACAACAATAGCCATAATAACAATAATAATAACACTAATATCAACAACTATAATACTAATCATAATTAAAAATATTAATAATAGTACTACTAATAACACTAATAATAATATTATTATAACAACAACAAAAAAAAAAAAATTAAACAACAACATGCAATAACCATAAAAACCCTAATATCAAATTAGTTTAATAATAATACTAATCATATTTTTAAAAATAATAACACTAATAATAATAATAATAATAATAACAACAATAACAATAATAACAATAATAATAATAATAATAATAATAACAATAATAACAATAATAATAATAATAATAATAATAATAATATCAACAATAATAATAACAATAATAATAATACTAACCATAACACTTCAAAATAACAACAAAAATAAAAAAATCCAAAAAAAAAAAAAAAACAAATTAACAACAACAACAATAACCTTAACATTAATAATAAAAACCTAATATCAACAAAATAATAAAAATTATCATATTTTTAAAAATAATTACATTACAAAATATAATAAGCACAAAAACAACAACAATAATAATAATATCAACAATAATCACCATAACACTTCAAAATAACAAAAAAAAACAAAATCCGAAAAAAAAAATTAACAATTTTATTAACGCGCCAAAAAAAAAAAATATTGGAACTTCCGCCCAAAATTTCCGGAAGTTCCATGGAGGATCCGCCTGGAATTTCCGGATCCTCCATGGAACATCCGGAATTTCTGAGCGGATGTTACTTCCGCCCAAAATTTCCGGATGTTCCATGGAGGATCCGGAAATTCCAGGCAGATCTTCCATGGAACTTCCGGAAATTTTGGGCGGAAGTTCCTGGGGTCCGAAATTAAAAAAAAAATACCTCGTCTCCGCCATCGCCGCCGCCGCCGCCTCCACCGCTGCCACCAGCGCCGCCGAAGGTCCTCCCTCCGAAACTCAGCCTAATCCGCCTCGAATCACCCATTTTCTTTTGTGTTTATGATGATTGTTGTTTTTTTAAAAAATGAAGAACAATTTTTGAATTTTTTTGTTTTAAAAAAAAAATTGTTTTAGAGAGTTAGAGAGTAAGAGAGTTTGAGAGTAAGAGAGTTAGAGAGAGAAGTAAAGAAGTGAGAAATGTTGGTCGGGAAGGAAAAAACCGTATTTATATATTAGGGGTAAAATTGGAATTTCAAGAAAAAAAGGGAGCGTTACCCGGTAAAATGGGAGCGACAAATAACAACACCCTTATAATTTTAACAAAATACTTCTACAACACTAACAAATAACCCCGTATAGCCAATCACATATAAAAGTCATAAAAATATGGATACATTTTTTATTAGACATGGAAAAACAAATTTTTCCCAATTGACCCAAATCTAAATTTTAGCTTGAAAGTCAAACTTTTGGAAAAATAAATTCTCTCAAATTACTTGACCCAAATCTAATATTTACCTCAAAAGTCAAAATATTATGACCTGAATTTGATATGATTATATGAAGATTTTTATACTCTCTCAGCCCATAAGATTATAGTTTATTTTGTTTGTAATTTACAATTACAACTACATACAATTTGATAATAATAATAATAATAATAATAATAATAATAATAATAATAATAATAATAATAATAATAATAATAATAATAATAATAATAATAATAATTATCACTAGGGTAGGCTTTGCTATAGCTAGAGGAGTGGGGGTCCAGATTGTATCTCGGCTTCCCACTAATTTATTGTAGGTTGTATGACTTTTGTTTTTGAGATATAATAATAATAATAATTGTCACTAGGGTAGGCTTTGCTATAGCTAGAGGAGTGGGGGCCCAAATTGTATCTCGGCTTCCCACTAATTTATTGTAGGTTCTAAACTCTACTTTGTTTTACGTACTTGTCCTCCTAGTACTTTTGAGGTGGCTCAGCGCACTTTTGACGAGGCTCTCCGATCTTCATTAGAGCGTATCGTTACTGCTTCGGGGCCTGGGTTTGGCGATTGGCAATGGAGACTTGCCACCTTACCATCTGCATTTGGTGGACTTGGAGTTTATTCCGCGGGTGATGTTTGTCATTATGCCTTTCTTGCTTCTCGGTTGCAGACTGCTGGGTTGCAGACGAAGCTTCTGCGTCATACTGGTATTGTCGGTCTTGGTCACGCTTTTGAGGATGCGTTGAGTCTGTTTAATGGAACGGTGGAGTATGATATTTTAGGTAATCCTTGTGAGGTCGTTGCCCCTAAACTCATGAAGAAATTGGCATATATATATTTCACAAAGGTTACCGCTTCTGCAGAATCCACCTTTTCTTTGTCTCCTCGCCAGTCGGCATTGTGGAAGTCGCAGCAGGGAGACCACACCTCTGCTTGGCTTCGTACAGTACCTATTTCTGGGTTGGGTCAGACGATGAACGCAAAGTCATACCGATGTGTGATGTGTTACCGGCTGGGTATTCCATTGTTCTCTGTCTCGACGTCGTGCTCTGCTTGCTCTCGGGTTTTTACTGGGGATATTTTCGGTGGCCACGCGGTGTCGTGTGCTGGTATTGTAGGTATTAAACATCGGCATAATGTTGTTCGAGATACACTTGTTGATATTTGCTACAGATCTGGGATTTCAGCGAGAAAGGAGGTTGACTACATAGGGTTGTGTGGAGGGAATGACGGGGCTCTCAGACCTGCCGATGTGTTACTTTATTCATGGACTCGTGGTCGTGATGTATGTATCGACTTCACTGGGTCTTCTTCTTTGACACAGACAGAGCTATCTGACTTTTTTCCTGGACGGATTGTGGCTGATGCGGCTCATCAGAAGCGGGTTAAATATGAAACTCGTTGTCGGGTGATTGGCTATGGATTCATTCCCTTCTCCTTGCTTGAGGAATTAGAGAAGGAAGCTGTTGCGTTGCTGAAGCGGATTCAGAGGTTCTCGACGACGCAAGACATTGTGGCTCGTGCTGCAGCTCATATTTTCACTAAGCCGGGTAGGCTTTGCTATAGCTAGAGGATTGGGGGCCCATATTGTATCTCGACTTCCCACTAATTAATTGTAGGTTGTATGACTTTTGTTTTTGAGATAAAATAATAATAATAATAATAATAATAATAATAATAATGTAGGGTGTTGTTTAGAATCTTTGGATTATTTGTCTTAATAAATGCTTTAAGATTATTATAACACAATAATTAAAGTTATTAATGATAAAAAATTTACATTGCTGAACTTGTACCATCAAAGATTCAAAGCATGAAATTTTATTGAGACGAAGGAAATATCATAAATTCATAAAGACATTTTAGGCCCAAATAGGTAAAGGAAAGACTTAATATATTTGTATATTTAAAATAAATAAATAAAAAAAAAGAAAGGAAAGACTTTACTCAGTTTTTTTTCTAAATCTAAATAAAAAGGCTATATTTTATATATATCCCTTACATTATTGATCAATCTCTATTTTATTGTTTTCTAAAATTTTCTTTTTAAGTTCTATATAGATGATGAGCTGTTGTTGTGAAAATCTCCTGGCATTGTTTATTCGATTATCTCTAAGCTTTCATTCACTCACTAATTCACTATATGATCTATATCAGATCATCTCATTTAGACAGTTGTCAACCTCATTTTCTAAGTCATTTGACTATCTGGAAAGCAATTTAATTTCTTTCTAAATCAAACCTTGGCTTCTAGAAGGTGAGGCTTTGTTACCTCTTTAACATTTGGTAATTTTTGAAACTATAATATTAATTAATGAATATTTTATAATAGTCATTTGAAATATGAGTATCATAATGTTTTTATGATTATATAATTAATAATAATTGACATATTTTCTCCAAATATTTTATGTAATTTTATTCTTGGTATAAAATAGTATTATTAACAATTTTTTATTATTAAATTTATAGTTTCATTTATGTAATTTTTATTAGTATTCTATAGTTTCTCGAAAATAATTCTTTTGTGTTGGATTCAATTTTAAAAAATTATAATGTTTGCATTGTAGATATTAGGAGAGTAATTATGTCCATCTCATAATGTAAAAAAAAAATAAACCGATTATATTGTTTATCATTGAAATAATATGGTAGTTAGGCTATAAATAGTGATTTTGCCCCATGTTTAGAAAATTATTTTAGGAACCTAAGCTTATTAGGAGGTAAAATTTTATGAGGCACCTTAAGGCCTGCTCACATTTACTGAACTGAGGCTAAGCTGAACTGAACTGAATGAGTTGGAATGAATATTTTATGAGAGAAGAAAATTATGAGCTGAAATGAACTGAACTGATTATTGGAGCTGAATGAACTGAACTGAAATTAAGTTGAAGTGAACAGACCCTTATATACAAATAGAAGTACAATTTTAGCTTTACTTATAAAATTATTGAAATTGAGACGTAATTTTGAGTACTGTCTCAAGTTATATAAGGCGTGAAGTTATTTTATTTACTTGTATATGTCTCGTTGGAGTCTTTACCTTTTTTTTTTTCTTTTTTTTTTTATTTTTTAGTTGAAGATTTTTGTGTTAAAACCTTTTTATTTTATTTTAACAACTAATAGTACTACACTACTACTGAATAGCTCATACTCTGAATACATGATACAATAATTTAGATATTCTATTTAATTTGACCCTAAATTGAACTTAACAAATTGTATGAACTACTAGTACTAGCAAAATTAAGTTTTTTACAACTACCTTCTTACATACTTTGTATGAAGCAAGTGAAAATAAGGACTAATAGTAAATAGGGTTGAGCACATATCAAAAATCCAGTTTTATGAACTTTTAGATTGGATACACGGAATATCCAAATTAAAACTTATTAATTTGAAGCTTTTTTTTTTTTTTTTGTTTTGTTTTTTTTTTTCAATGACTAAAATATCCAAAAGTTTGGATATTTGTACTAGATATCCAATATTTAATTATTTTCGAATATTGAATATCTGAAAATTTTGAATCAGATATCAATTCTAATTTTAATATCGGATTGATTAGTTTTGATAAGTTGAAACTCAAGTCCTTTTTTTTTTTTTTTTGAGAAATTAGAGTCGGATTTAGAAATATACCAAGTACTCCGTATAACAAATATATAGTAAGAAGAGTGATGAAGGAAGAATTATTAGGAAACCATTGAAAATACTTGGCTCCCCAGCCCATTGGATTGGATTCTCATTCCAATAATATTCTGATTTCAAGAATGATGATGTTATAAACGGAACTGCGGGAACAAAAACAGTAAGAACAAAGTTACCGAAAATTAGACCTAGTCGCGGACTATGTCGCTTTCTTTAGAACATTAACGGCACTGCCCTGAAAATGTGCAAGCAGTTCGTACTAAACCGGATGTTCCCCAGGATAAAACAGCCTTTCTCTATTGTAATTATACCGGTGGAACTGCACAAAACCACCGGGCAACTAAACACCGAAAAGAAAAGAAACTGCTCGAGGGTTTTGTTTTTGTGAGGAAAAATAGAGAGGAGAAGAAGATTGCTTTCTGTATTTTTTGTGTATCAAAAACAGGAAATCAACACGCCTTTTATAGGCAAAATTGCAACGTAACTGCTGTTGTTTAATTAGGCACTAATCACGCAATTAAAACGGTCATAAGTTGAACGTTCAAAACGGTTACAGAAGATTAATGCGTGGAAAAACGTTTAGCACAAAATCAGTGAAAACGTTTGCATGATTAACGCTCCATTAATCAGTTTTGAAAAAACGGTCAAATGTAATCAGTCAAAAACGTTTAGCAAAAATCAAGGAACTAATCACGCAATTAGCCTTGTCCAAAAAATAAGTTTATTTAATAAACCCGACCCGACCCGACCCGGTTCGGCGCGCGCGTGTGTGTGATAGATGGTTTACCATATAGGTCCTCCCTCTCCACAAAATGTGGGTAGCCCAAGGGCCACACCCCTTTAGCCCACTCTCTATATTATAAAGAGAGTAAAACTCTCATTTCCCACCAATGTGGGACTTTGAGT